GGGACACCATGCAGTGCTGTACATTTTTCGTCCGAGATGGCATGTAGCACTGCCTTGGGATCGAATGTTTCGCTGGGGAAGACAATCTTCGAGCCGTGGGTCACCACCGCCAGCATTCCTAGAACCAGTCCGAAACAATGGAAGAGTGGAGGTGGACAGCAGAGTATATCGAAGGAAGAAAGGTTCATACGGTCACCAATGAATCGCGAGTTATTCACAAGGTTACTGTCGAGTAATTAATGAGCATTGAACTTGTAGTTGCCATTTGGTGCCATCTCCAAAATACTTACCGGTGAGTCAACATGGCTGCCTTGGGATTTCCAGTCGAGCCGCTGGTGAATTGCAAGTTACACACGTCGTCAGGGCGCAATTCGGCCTCACGATCCTGTAGTAGATGAGCCGCTTGTGACTGGCCCCGGCTAATGATCTCGTCGTAGGTGGGGAAATCCTTGTAGTAACCGCGAAGGATCACAATCTCGTCCACACATTTTGAAGTGTTGTTCTGCTTGGGCTTGGGGCCTAGCTCTTTCAAGACTTCCTCGAGGTTATGGCGGCCGATGTGAGGAGTCATGAACAACAAGCGGCAATCTGTATTGCGATTGTAGATTGGCCCAAGTTAGCTGCATACTCATCTGTCGCAATTGGACGTACAATTGGAGGAGTTACCGGTATGATTCAAAGCATAGTACAGCTCCGAGGGAGTATATGTGTTGTTCAACACCACCAAAATCGCACCGACTCGCGCGGCCGCAAAGAAGATAGAAATATACTGTTCACAATTACCCGCCATAATGCCAACGCGATCGCCTTTTTGAATGCCCATGGCAAGCATGCCCCGCGCAAGACGATCTACCTCATCCTTCAGATCCGCATAGGTCCATCGGGCCCCGGTCCATGGAAATACCAAGCACTCGTAATCTCCATATTGTAGCGCTTGCAGCGTCAGTAGCTCGCCCAGGGTAATATCCAGTAGCTTCGGTTGAGTCGGTCCCGCTACAATTGACCATTGAAGGGGTGCTGGTGGTGGTTGGATATGGGACAGCGTCTGCTGCAGTCGATGAACACTCCGGGGAACAGCCATGGCTGATATCAAGCTAGAGGCCTGGAAGGCGAAGGGGTGAGTTGAAGAGCAAGTGTGCGATCTCGGAAAAAGATGGAGCGCATCCGTGGGCTTATAACAGGAGCCGATGATACCGCGGCAATAATTTTTTATTGTTTTATTTTTTTCCCCCGTATCAGATTAGATAGCCATTGATCAATCAGATAGGCGGGCATGGTGGAGCAGCGTATTGGAAGGTGGATTCGTACGAAGGAAACGGGATGGACAGCTGGTTAGCGGCATCACCCGTCAATTTGTCTATACTGTACTAAAGTATACTTCGTAGTCAGAATGTTGTAGTTAGAACTTCCGAGAGTCATCCATAGTACGTTGCAATGATTCTAAAATCTCTTGGGATGATAGAGGGCCCACTCCACGTCATGGACACACAGAAGCGAAGGTGAGTACAGTAGCGTGAGGTGCCTTGTAAGCTCTCATCGTGGTAGTTGTCCTTGAGGATAGCCTCTCAGAGGGGAGGTCTTGCTAGTAACAAGGTAGAATACTGGTAGACCTTGAGCTACTTGCACCCATAAGCGCTTAAACCCGATGTCTTGCAGTGGGCTGTTCGGAATACGCCCCGAAGTTGTCCCCGGGCGAGATGAGTCTGTGGATATCTGTCCGACTCTGCTCGAGGGTGACAGCGATCGGCCAAACAAGTTTCCAAAGGCGGATATTCGCTCCGGAACTTTTCGTCAGATTCATCAATTGAATTGTCATAATATCATTAGTGTATACACAAGTAATACGCTCGACCGATCTGTATTCAGCGTATATACCGGAAAATACCTGGTCATGGGATCCACTTTGAGTCGGCTGGCGGGCCTCTCAGCGCCCCGCTCGGATCAGATAATTTCGAAGTTTCCCTGCATGGCGTGACGAACCATCCCAATCGTGGGAAAGAGAACAAGCTGTGGATCTTTGGAATAGATTATGACCATGGATTCGGATTTGGTATTGCGTTGACGTGCACCTCATCCTCCACGTGGACTAGTCTTGTTTTGTGTGCATTCCATCAAGTGTTGTGGAGGGAGACTGTAAATCCGGCTGAGCCAGTTTCGACTGGAGTGGACCACCACTAGTTGATCCGGATGGACCGTGGTAGAAATGTTGCCAAGATCCTGCTTTAGTCCGCCGTCAAAGTTATGCGTGTTACGGCATCTGTCTTCGTGTGGTAGTGTGGGCTTGCCAGTGTGGACTGTAGATCTAACCAATCAGCCCGGTATCGGCGTATCCACAATACCTCTGCTCCTTCATGCATACAAAGATGCTTGACAGCTGCAGGGTCCGAATGAAAAGAGTCTTATATCCTCTACCCGTATGTGAAGGTGGATCGCTCAATGTAGCCATGCTTTCCTCTTACTGCACAGCCCCATGTCACTGATGGATTTGCTTCGGTTTTGCACAGCCATAAACCAATAGATAGCCATATGAGTGATTACTAGACGCTTCTTGGACACTACAGTGCTTCCATACTCCCTGTCTACTTAAGCCAAGCCACTGGGTGGTAACGAAGACTCACGAGATTAATAATAATCTGAGGGAAAACAGATCTGCGAACAAAAGAGGCACCTACCTAATGTAACAGATCAACCTAGACTTTCACAAAAACAAGTTTGATGACAAGAAACACTGGTAGTATGCAGCAAGGACCTTCTATTAAATATGCTTTAATTACATTAATTGAACGTCCTAACAAAGACGACAAATGAGAATAGAACGAACGACATGGTACGCGAGAGAAAAAGCAGCGACCCGTGGATGAGAAGTTGCTGATCTCGATGCACCAGAGCAAAAGGCCCTCGCCCAGGCGCTCATGTGTACATATATGTACGTAAGTGCATTGTACACTTCTCCCCATGTAGGCCCAATGGCATTGCACAAGGTAGGCCTCGCAGAATCATCTGCTCGGGGCGGGTGGCAGCGTAAGGGTCAGATTTAAATGAGGCTGCTGAGAGCGACGCAAGGCAGAGCAACGCCGACAAGATCACCGTTCTAAATTTTATTAGCTGCGTCTTTTCATGAGGACTAGTAAGAGAGAAGAATGACATACCGCCTCGGAGCGAGTGTTCTGGCAGCAAGCAATGTTCTGCTGGCACTTCTTGTTGACCAGATCTTGGGCGTTCACGGGAACGAGGTTCAGGACGGGCACTACGCGGAAATCAGACAATGCCAAATATTTGCAGGACCTCAGTAAGCTTCTTACCGTTCAGGTTGAGGTCATTGCAGCCGTTGAAGAGACCCAGGCCGTCGGCACCGGGGCCGCCACCCACAGCATTTGCCAGAACGCCGGCGAGGGGCCCGTTGTTGGCAGTGGTGACCGAGCCAGTGGTAGACTTCTTGTTGCAGCAGGAGACGACGGCGTCGTTGCCACACTTGGCGTTGGCCTGGTTGAAGGAAACGTCCTTGAAAGGGGGTACTGAACACCGTTACCCTGGCTGGTAGCACCGTCACCGGAGGAAGGGAGAGCCAGAGCAGTGGCAGCGAAGAGGAGAGCAGAGGCGAAGAACTTCATTTTGATGGTTTGGGGGGTTGATAAAAACAAGAGGTGATTATTTGGGAAATGAGTGACTGAAAGCCCTTGAAGGTAGGAGAATGGTTGGAAAAGTGATGAGTTGGAGAATGAAGAATCAAACTTGAACTGGAAACAGGATTACTTTTTATATTCGTCGTTCAGTATTCTAGACCCCCATCAAGATGCCTCGAGCTGAGGATTACTGTACTTTGTCACCCAAACAGATATGTTTTTGTCGAGCTAGATGCAATTGGTCTCACAAAGCGGATCAGAGAAGTCAATAACGTAGGGACCCTGCTGGTGGCAACTGTAGATTCTTACTTGATGCGGAACGGTAAACAGGGTTCCTGGCAAGCTCCCTCTTGCTAGGCCAAGATGACTAGCGATGGCAGCGTAGGACATGTTCAACCCGGGGAATGTGGCTGCAGGAACCAGGCCCTGCGGTCCCTGCCGATCCGTCAAAACCCGGTATAGCTAGCTGCACGGAGTCCGGAGTATATTGAGAATTGGTTGTGACTACTAACCACCTAATAGTTCCTATAGGGTAAACATGGCTGAGGTCCACATCCTAGCATAAAGTGGATGCCAGGCTGCCCTAAACACGAACTGTGGGGAGCTGATATGGCTGGGGACTATTGGCAAGGATATTTCTAGGTTGAGATTATGATCAACCCTCGGGATGCAATAAATTTTGCTTTTTGCATTGGGGCGGCGGCAACAACAGTATGTATTATGCTTCCCGGAGAGATCGGCGATGTGATCTATCAAGCATCGAACTTGTTAATTAGTCATTCCGGGGGCGGACGATCGCCCGCTAATGATTAAAGGAAAACCACAAGTTAAAAAAAAACAAGACTGACGAAGAGGCAACAGGTCGCGACCGGCTATCGGCTATTCTGACCATGACAGCGGGCGATGTACAAGATTAACCCTGCTATATGTATGTGTTTTCTTTTTCAGAGACCTTGGCGGTTGGGATCTCAATTACTGACATTCAGTGCCACAATTGGCTGCAACTCTCGATTTGGGAGAATTATTTAAAATCAACAAATTCATGCAAGGATGTGCAGGAACAACCTCCTGCGTCACGCATACCACAGTGCTTCCCGTAGAGTATTCCCCTGCTCTACTCCGCACAAGGCTTCAATGAAGCCGATCTCTCTCAACGCTTACAATAACAATTGAGTAACCGGATAGCATCTGGCGAATGACAAGGTAACAACCCACGGGCGCATCAAATATTTCTTTTTCCAAGGGGCCTGTTAATGCTCAAAATCCATGATCTATTATTCTATGATGTGGGAACCTTTCAGCATATCTTCACCGCAAACACACAACAGTGCAAAGGTCTCGGTGCCCATCACACGTCACACCTGTTGATATATTAGTTCACCAGGTAAATGACTCTTCTACATACTCAATGTTCTGGTAACCTTGTTGCCTTGCCAGGTGTATTGCCGCACGCGCCTCGTCGGCCATCCCAGTTGGTCCACAAACCAAAATGGCTAACTTCATCCCAGCCGCAGAGGTATCACAGGAATGGCTCAGAATTATCGACTGAAGATTTGGTCGACCCATCTGGACTGTATATCCAACAGCATTCCAATCCTCGCGAAATCTATCCGAGGATCCCGTGGCATAGAAAGAGGCACGAAAGTCTTCCCGGTCAAGCATCTGTTTGAGTTCACGATCGGCAAGGTCACGAAGGAAAGCTGGCTGTCGTGTAGTCCAGACTAATTCGATCTCTCGGGTTTGTAACTTTTCTTCCGATGTGTCTGACCAGTGATTGGTAGACCTTTGGAGATGATCATGAAGATATGGCACCGCGGCGGCAATGCCAGTCCCTCCCACGATGATCAACACTGATTCGTATCTCCAGAGAGGGACGTTGTGTCCATACGGGCCTTCGAGAAGCATAGTGGTGTGAACAGGTTGGTTCGACACACGCAAACATTGCTTGCGAAGCTGTTGCGTCCAGCCATTGTAGGGACGAATCCAGAAGGTCAGCTTTGGGATCAGAGATTGTTGAAATGGCATTTTCCTTCCGCCCAAGCTTCGATGACTAAAAATGGTCTCAGATAGAAGTGGAAGCTGAGAATTATCGATAGAGTCCCAAGGTTTGCCAACGATTTCCAGTGGCGCTCCACGCGGATCCGATTCGTAGCTCCAAGCTCCAACAGTAAACGGATGGTTCTCCCAGCCGGTGAAGCGGAATGGCTGATACAAGAAGTAGTAGTCTCCCGGCCTAGCCTGTAAACCTGGCATTCCTGGGGTGACCTCCAACCGAATGACATCGGCTACTTCGTCGTATGTCATGCGAGACTCTGTGACATTTATGAACTTGCCCTTAGACAGCCTAACGTGGACGTTACAATAAACTAGCCGAACGATCCTCAGACAGCGATCGGTTGCCCAAATTATCACGGATGGCCACAGATACTCCCAATACTCGTGCCCTTCAAAGACAATGGTATGGCTTCGGGTGTCAGCATATACGGATTGGGTCGACATGAGCTGGAGTGGACCCACTAGAAACAGCCAACGAGAGTGATCACAGACAAAAGAATGTGAGCTACCATAAAAAGCTCGTAGGACGCGGCACGCATACGATCCAATGAAGTGATTAAAACCAAAATCATCAGGATAAATGTCTAGAGTTTGTCAGCATTCAGAAGCTAGTAGCCACTGGCCGTGAGAGTCTCACCAAAACCCCCCAGAGGATATAAACTTTGGTGATTTCCTTCCATAATTTGTTGACTACCCCGGTCGCATCGCTTAGTAGTCTGTATTGGGTTGGAATGGCCCTCCCGGCCGTTGGTGCATGGAAATACTATCACTCACCTCGAATATATATCACGAAATATAGGACTGAATGGGCCACTGCTTGAAACGTTGCGATCCGTGCCACATGACGATGAAAGACGTTAAAGGTCGCAAAACTCCACCCAGTGGCCCAGATTAATATGTTATTGCGTCCGGCGAATACAATTAATAGAAGGAAGTTCGCGAATGACATGATTCCGGTCCGATCAGCTGAATAGCGTAGAATCTGACTAGTGACGTCGGGCCAGCTGCAGATCGTTAGAAGAGTAATCATCTCGACACGATCAGGCAGAACATACTAGATATTGCCCTGAAAAGTTCGGTAACCAACCACACTTAGGATAATACTTAGTATCCAAAAGCCTCCCACTGCAAGTGCATCTGCTCGCGATGGGAATGTACAACCAATTAAACGCCGCCCTTGACCAGCAAGCGGGGACAGGATAATCAGATGTGTTAAAATCCAATGAACAACGCATTCCAAAAATGACAGTCGACGCCAGATTGAGCGATATATGGTGGACTCCAGGCCAGACTCGATGTGTTGCTGTCGACCAAGAAGCATCCAACCATATAGGCGATAGAGGACTCCCAGTGATAAAATTCCTGCCCAATAGGCGTACCCAACGTAGCTTATTTGGAAATATCTAAATCAGTTTACCCCGGCAGATGCTCAATGTATTAGAAGTGGGAATCCGTACCTAAAGGCGTGATGTGACCATGTCTCGAATTGCCAAGAGTCCTAGATGTCTGAGGGTTAGCCTCCGTGGGGTTTGCACGGTGGTGTCATACCACTTTCTCTTCGCACATACAATTGTATCGAACATGCGATTGAAATATGATGCAGAAAGAAGAACGGGAGTATTCTGGTAGTTCACCCGTGAGAGCTCCAAATAATCCACAATTCTCATGTTGCGGATGCTCTCCTCGGTAAGATGCTCTGCAACAGCAGCTCTTGACAGTAATTCGCTATGGCCCACCTCCTGACATAGTTTCGCCAACTGTGTTAGTCCAGTACGACGCTCCTCGTCGTGACAATAAATCTCCGATGATGCATAGATAGATGCAACTTTGAATGGGTTCCGACAGCGCGTCTCCCACATTCCCTTCTCGGGGTCTCCTTAAAAGAGATATAATTGTATGCTGAAAAGATCGCAGTCACACAAAGCTCATCTTTGGAAATAGTCTCCCCCGAACGCCCCAAGCACCGGGCAAGATGCCTAGCCATCGGAGAGGTTGCATGGTTGTTGCCAGTCTCTGGTAGCTGACCTGCGAGGAAACGCGGCGTGACACAGATGCGAACGAGAGTGGGAGGGATGGAGGCGGAGCGCCGATGATCACACTGGCGGATGCGGTCCGACTCACCGAGTGAGCATGAGGAAAAATCCCTCTCTAACCAAGGATAATGAGCACGACAAGAGGTATTCCGGGAGAAATGGTAGCCTTAGTGTAAAACAAAGGTCAAGACTGATGTCGCTTTAACATTTGCTGTCCAGTCGAAGGCCCTACAATCAACAACGCTGGGGTTGGACAACAGAAATTGATTGTGGCCGTGGCGCAACAATCGCATCTTATCTGATTGATAATCGCCACGTGATAGGGGTAGGGCAATCCGGACATCCGAGAACCAATCGGAGGATCAAGGTCGTACGGTACCAGTGGCCAGTGGCCAGTGTCACAGTAATCTCGAATATTATTTGGCCTAACTTTCTCCGGCAGAGCATATTATAGTAATAACACAGAAAATACAACCATTTCAAGACAGCTATTTAGAATGAAGAGCGGATTTGCCCTACCACTTGAAACTATTAAGCGATAGGCTCAAGAACATACGTGTTGAACTGTTCTTCTTCTCCTGGATTATATCCCCCGTTCTATAGCCTATCTATGCATCCGGGTGTTAACGAGTTTTTACGGCAGTAAAAATTTCGCCTTGGCGAATGCCGCATTCCAAGACACCTTTCACACACCAAATTTGCCACCCTCTGGGACCGAGAGATGCGGACATTCCTTCCAATCACAGGTGTTCTAGAAAACAAAATTAGCAAAATGCCACGGAACTTAAAGGAGTGTAGATAGACGTACTTGGTATACCTGTGTTCCCCACCAGCTGAAATGGTCGCTGGCGCCAGTGAAGTAGACAGTCAAGAATATGACCACACCGGCGATTCCTACTGACGAGTCCAACGCGGAGCTGAGCACAAAGTTGTATTTGCTCCACCATCCGTGGACTCGCTTTCGAATAAGCCAACCAAAGGTCAGACCCACAATCGCCCAGCTACCATAGTTCATGCCAGTCGCAGGCGGTAGATAGTTCAAGCCGCCCAGGAACACGGGAATATGGACTCGTTTCCACAGAGAGTTGGGATAGCGGTGACTCAAGAAGTAAACAGGTATTGGAAGAACAGCGCCGATGATAAAGAAGTACAAGAGGGTGTTGTAGCCGATATGGTTTGAGAAATAACGACGTGGGCCGATCGCGCCCCAGATGAGGGAGGTATTGAAATGGGTACTGGAGTATGGGCAGCTGAATCCGTTCACAGCAGCACTCGTGCAGACCCCACTGATATGATTGAGAGCCCAATTGAGAACACCAAGAGATGAAAGAGTTCCAATAATCATGCCCACACATTGCACAAAGAAGAGTTTCCGTTGTGGAATCTTAGTGTTGTAAAATCGTTAGTCGCGGCTATTTAAACTTGGATTTGGCAGGGGGCTTGGAGTCTCTCACATTGCAATAGTATGCAAGCTTCATGTCTTGCGCAAAGTACAGCCCTTTGATGGTGGTGATATACCCAAGATCAAAGAGCCAGATGTTGGCCAGAACTTTACCCTCAAAGACGAATCCGGCGACGATTCTGCAAAAAATATCGATATTTATCTTGAGATTCGATGTTGCGTATACAATTGCCAACTAAAAGAAGAGAATCACGGTTAGGAAGGTAACCATCTCAAAAGGACTCGGTGGAGGTGACATACTGGAGGATAGAAGACGACGGCAACAGCACACGCTAGTAGAACCCCATACCAGCGAAGCTCCACATCCCAGTGCTCAACCGCGAAAATGGCCATTAACAAGGCAAGTCCACAACCAACAAGATACCACCAAATAGGAACATCAGGTGCACCGGTTTCGTCCTGATCTTGGGGGCTGGAATGTCCAGGGAGAGATTCCATAACTAACTTAGGAACCCTCCTGGCGGCATCAGCCATGGCTTGGCGATGTTCCAGAATGACCCAGACGAGAAGGGAACTCAGCGTAGCAAAGGATAACCCAAACATGTTCAGAGCAAACGTGATCGGCATGTAGACCTAGACATCGAATACTTAGTTTCAGAGATTGAAATTTCTATAGAATTCATGAGGTCGACGAACAGGTGAATATGCGAGGTATTTCTGGACATCCAATGTATACCCGGAAGCCTTGTTCACAACCTTGGACGCTTTGTAAACACCACCAGTATTGTCGTAAACTGGCAGGGACATCAGTTCCATGATTGCCACGACGAAAATAGCAACGATTGCCTACTTACCTTTTGAGCTTTGAAAAGAAAGGTAGCCTGTGCTCCACACGTTTGTATAATAACAAGCCACAGCCACGATCCAAATCCAGAACACCAGGGACACGAAGACATTGAGGATCGCCCACGATGGAATCAACAAAGGCGATCCGACATAAGAAATTTGGCTCCCTGTTGGCTTGTCAGTTGATTGTCCCACGGGCGCAACTGATTCCGTACAGTCAAATGTGATTGGGATAAGACCCATGCCAGAACTCATGCCAAATAGCTGATTGACCACAGGGCTTGTCGGATTGATCCAGCAAGGAAAGCTGAAGTAGCTAAGAGCTGGAAAGATAAAGTCTGGAAACCAGTACCAACAAAAGGAGACGCAGCAGGTGAAAGTAAAAAATGCGTAGCGAGATATCTTCCAAGTGTTGTAGCTTTGAGTTTATGTTAGAAGCCACATGCTGGGAGACCTGCGAAAGGAAAGAGAATCGCTAACCTGGCTTGAACTTTATCCTGGTTGATATTGTGCAGGGTAGTTGTGAGAGCAGTGACACCCAGGACACCAGGCCAGATGAGCTTTTTCGGCGCTACAACGATAGCACGAAAAAGGCCCGCCAGACAGAATCCAATCAGGAATGTAGCGAGGGTAACCAGAACTTGGAACCCCCATCCGGCATTATAACCGTAGAACATCTGCTGCTCGGTCAAGACATCGGCTCCCAAGCGAACGTAGATACTGAGATTTGACATGACATAGATGAGGACATGTTCCTGTCGATGGAACTGTTTAGCTGATGAAGGAGATGGCATCTACATCATTCACTCAATGCACTGACCTTGGTATTAAAGGGACCTGGGTTCAGGTTAAAAGAAGAATATCCGAACGGAACGTTCCAACTGGGCACAATCCTTTCCCAAAGCTTTCCCAGCGGGTAGGCCAAAAGAAGCACCACCGAGGATGAGATGGTAAGAGAGGGCGTTCGGAGAGTATATAGCGTATTCAGTCCACTTGCCACGATGCAGAAGCCAATCCCAAGCACCCACATCCGCAAGGTGAGGATTGGCTCGGTCGGGTCATCCTCAGCGATGCCTATGCCGGCCGCTCGGAGGACCTCGGCTTCAGAGTCTGAATCGGCGGCGAGGAATGTTAGAGCATGAGCTAGTGCAGAGCACGAAGGCCCGATGAAGAAATTTCAGAATCACAGAGTTCTGCTTAGCGGTATCAGACTGATGGGCTTCCCGAGCATTTCTTTCTTGTACATCAATCTCCTTGGCTTCTCCCATGATCGCGTGTGGCAGCTTTCAGCGGGCAGGAAGTTGATGGTGGAGGAGATCCAGCAGACGGATCGGATCAGATAATTGTTACGTAGCATCAGATAAGATCTTAAAGGCGATTCAAACTTCTGATCACCGTGTCCAACCGGGTGCCGAGTTAAGCAGCCGAGGCCTGGCCGCGAGTCGTTTTCGCGTTCAGCCCTACCGCGACGGAGATGGAGCACGAAAGCTTCAAAGATGGGTCCACCCACTGGCAACCCATTGGCAGCCCTTTTCACGCCTGCCTGTTCGGTGAAGCCATTTTCGGGATCTCTGCTTATGCGACCATTAGAAATGCGCCAAATTAGGTATCTGCAGACTTCATGCATGCATCGGGATGACTTTCGAGAGAGGGCATGATAATATCCTGCACTGACAGCCTGTCCGATTTGCGCGATGAAGAAAAAAGGGTCCTTGGAAGAAAAATTCCAACTTCCCTTCCTCCGACGCGCAGGACCGACAGTATCCACCTGGTGGACCCCAACGCGCGATTTATTCCGAGAAAGAGGCATAGAGACGAAAGATCTGGAGGCCAAAAGATGCAAGACTCGTCGATTTTGACACATATGAATCTCAATTTTATGCCGACGCCCATACCAGAAAGCATTATCATGACACATAAAGAGGTGGATGGAAACAAGTGCCCGAAAGGTACCAATATCAAAGCAGGAAGGAGAAAAGAGAAGTGGACCAAGATGATTCTCTACAGCATGGTCACGATCGCGAGCACGCAGTGTAAACAGTACACTGCGCTGGATGCTGTATAGGAGGAGAACCCATCCACATCCGCGGAGATAGTCTGGTCATGATGGAGTGAATAGTCACCGCAAACGACTAAGTGACCAGTAGATCCTCTTCTTCCACAGAGACCTGAATTTTCATGCCCCATCCATCTCTCCCCCCAATCCAGTTCTTACGTTTCCCTACCTTCTTAAGCTTCCGCGAGTCTCGCTCCAATTCCTCCTTCAGACGGGTTGGATCGTATGCAACTTTTTGAATTGCAATCTTCAACTTGATCCCCTCCTTCTTCCCCTTCTTCCCCAGCCCAGTCACCCACTCTGCAGAGGGAACAATCCGGGGCTTGGATGTATCAATCGAACCAGTGAGATATAGTTGACCAAGGATCAGGCCAAATTTGCCAAGGTATCGCGTCCACCAAACTTCCTCTGGAGAGAGAAGTCCCTGTAAATGAGACTTTAAGTCCACATCGCGTGGTGGGAGTTCTCCACCGTAGCGCTCTTGGAGCATGAGGGCCAAAAGCGCCCGGTGAGAGTGAGGGATTCCATGGGCCGAGGCGAGAATGCCAGTGCTTGTACTGTAGAGGGCCGCACTAGAGGAGAGTTCTTTGGCCATTGAAGCATGTACATAGAGGGCATTCGCAAATGCCTGGACCACATGCACGCTGATCGTGGATGGAACCGAGCGCGAGCCCGTCGGTCGGGGCAGAGAAGCCAGCATCAATGCAGCGATGGCTTGTGCCGATGAAGGCGCATATCGAGCGGTCGCAACCTCGAGCGGATCTTGTTGACGGACCACCGGCAGCATTTCGCGAAACAGAACACCCTCTCGCACGCCCCCTTGGCAAAAATGCGCTTCTTTGATCCCATGCGGCAATGACTCGGCAAGTACGTTGACCAGGAACGCAACCGAAGGCACCTGCTTGCGGCGCCGATCAGAAACCCGGAAAATCTCGTCTGCTTTGCGAGCCACTTCCTTCAGGGCATCGGTGTTCTCAAAGTCGGCTTTGGGTGCAGTGTACCCGTTGATGATGGAAATGGGATAATTTTGGCCTCGGGTTTGATGCAGGTAGAGCAGTAGATAGCCCCATCCACGAAACCCACCACCGGACAGGTACAAGGGGAAACCACCTTGCTCGCGTGCTTTCTTTACAAGACTTTCGGGAACTTCGAGACGCTCGAAGGCTGTGCGGAAGTTGTGAGCCATCTCGCGACGGAACTCTTCCCTTGCCTTTTTAGCATCGTCTTCGCTTTTCCCCCGCTTCAAGTCGGCCAGTTTCTGGGTTAATGCGGCCGCTCCGTATGGGAAGCTCACCGCACCTTGGGGGCTAATGCGCACATTGCCTGCGTGCGAGATGATCCAGGTCATCTGCATACTTCCACCCCCGAGGTCCAGAGCCAACCCTTCCACGTCGGAAAAGCTACTCGCAATACCCCAAGCACCAATGATCCCCTCATCCTCCTTTCGCAGAAGCTCCACCTCGATGCCCGTTTTGCGGTAGATCGCGTTGGTAAACACCTCAGAATTGAGCGCCGTTCGCGTTGCTTCGGTCGCGATAATGCGTATGTTCGACGCCGGTACACCAATCTCAACGCAGATGATTTGGAACCGGACAATAGCGCTGACCACGCGGTCGATCACATGTTGGGAAATGGGGATGCGAGTGCCGGTCGCGGGGTCGATTTGTGCCTCGTAGAGGGAGATATTGACGCGATGGAAGTGGACCGTGGGAATGATGCGAGTAGTTGGAGAGGTAAGATCGGAAATCGAGCATCGAATACCATTACTGTTGTTGGAGGGAGAGAGATAGACGAGTCAACGAGGGGATTCACGGACTGGGTTCGCGCTCTTGAACCGGCGTACCTGCCCATATCGACCACCGCGTGTAGATAGTCATTCTGACCTGGTTGCAGGGACGTGGTTAGCTTTCCGTGGGAGCTTCCTCCAAAGGAAACTGGCTTCCACCCCCCATTGCGGATTCGTGGGAAAGTTTTGTCTTGTCAATTCTTCTGTGGTCGGCTCGTGAGTCGTCAGTCGTGAGACTGTCCGAGAGCCAAAAGGAAGGTTGGTGACATCACCAGAGAACGGGCCCGTCACCGTTGCCGATCATGACACACGACTTCACCGCCTCTAAAGATTCTGCTAATCACCATTCACGACAACTATATATCCCATCCCAATAATCGGATAAATTCCGAGTCAAGCCAGGGATACTACGCGAAACGCTAGGTATTTACTCCCAGGGACCCTAAAATAGTAAGGCAACTTGACGACAAGTCCTTCAAAAGAGAGGCTGATACATGGAATCTGCATATGCGTGAGATATGCGACCTATAACGGCTACAACTAGCAGGTCACCCAAACTCCAGACCACTCAGATGGTCGCATTTCATTCGACCTGAATCACGCTTGGCTTTTCCGACCAGTACACTGAAGCCACGCTCGAACCAACGGCATGTTCACCGTTAGGTAGACCATCGTTCACACTTTAACTGGACCGACAGCCGTGTTGAAAAAGTCAGTGATGACTCTGGTGCGAAGACCGGGCGAAAAGTAGTCGTATCCAACAAGTACACCGCAAGAGTCAACGAAAACAGTTATCGGAATCGATGAGTATAGGATATTCCACTTGAGTCTATCAGTATTCGTCGTATCGAAAGAGGTAGCTTGGAACTGACAGATGCAACATGTTTATCGAGCAAATTCCTCTTCACAAGTCCACCGAATACGGCTGCTCCTTGAATCAAGAAGTCTTCGGTGAATAGAGGATAATTGGACATGACATAGCCAGTCCACACGTTGGGCTGTGCAACGCCTACCTCATAGGATGTCAGGTTGTTGAAGACCAAACCATCCTTGGTAGTCTTAGAATAGTCGAAGATCGAAGAAGCCAGAGCCCCGTCGTAGGCCTCATCTGCACGAACGAGGTTCTGGGAGGGAGAAAAGTAAATGTAGCCCGACATGATATGGGATAGATTGTTATTCCTTCAATGTATTAGTAGAAGTGTGTGGAAATATCAAGATAGATTTGTATACCATTTGTGCTGAATGAAGCTGGTTTTGAATTCAGGTTTTACCAGCGGCGGCTGTGGTTGCTGAAAGCTGCCGCTGAATTCAAGCATTGATGCAGGAAAGTCATTGCACGACGAATCTTTCGGCTGCACCGAGGTGGCCAGGGCCAGCAGAGAGAAAGAGAGAGTCCAAAGGAGATTCATCGAGAATGGGTGATAGTGGTAGATAAGATGTCAGTCGAATGTGCGAGAATTTTTGGTTTTCGAAGATGTGACAAGAGACATCTCCTCTTTATATACATTTGATACGATATCTCTTTCAATAGACTGACATTATCCAGCTTGATGGAATGAACATACTGCGCGGGCATAGGTCAGTCGCAGATGCCTAAATTGTGTGGGGCTCTAGGTGTTGCGCTCGATTATAACCCAATTGGGAAATGCTTCTTGGCACAATGCGGAATAGTTTCTATTCCACTCCTTCTAACGGAGAGTCTAATCTCCCTTTCCAATCCCAAAGTAGATGAAGATCATCTTTGATCCTAGCCGCAACAATAAATCCCCGCTTGAAAATAGAATCCAGCAGAGCCTGAACCGTGGCTTTTTGGATGTCAGTTTCTGCGCGTGTTCCAGCGACTCGAAGCGGGAGAATCAACAATAGACCACATCCACCTGGAGTATCGAGTATAATTTCAGCTCGTTGAAGGATTTGGTTAACGTGGTGATTTATCTCACACCTTGATAGGTATGGAGAATGATCTAGATGCCAACAATGATAATAATCAAATGTGTTGAATAGATCGAGTAGGATTGCGTGGTAGTATGAAAGTGCTTGGTGGAAAGGCAAACTTTTGGACCTTTCGGGATCTGTGTTTTGAAGTTCGCTATATAGCTTGTATATATCGTTCTGAATTTCTGCGGCTTCAACGCCAAATTGATCCAAGGTCGGATCGGGGATGTCGAAACTCATAACGCTTGAAACATATCCGTAGAATCTGAAGGAGGACATGAGTAAAACAGAGAATCAGTTGCAGTTTTACTTGCATACCGAGTATTAAAGGTAGATATTTCGGCCATTATTGAAGGGATTCGGCCCAGACTATCCCATTTACTCACGGGTGTCTGGTCGTCCATTTGGTACGTCGGGGCCCACTCGAGGCTGGATAGAATTGTGCCTTCTCCATAGAGTATTGCTCGATTTGCCTCAAACATCCTGAAGATACCCAGAAAAGCCTTTCGTGGGCGGGATATTGTGGTTGTTGCCCCTGCGCCCTGCAACAGTCGAGATGTTCCATGTAACATATGTTTTGCCCACCCATCTCCCGATGGATCGGCCATAAGCTGTCAGCCTGAGTTAGTATATCTGTCAAGTCATTTTTAGATTAGAAGAGATATACCTCGAATAAGCCTAGGAAAAAAGTAGCCCAAAGAATATCGTCTCGCAAAGAGACCTCCGATTCCAGCAATACAGTTTTTAATAACTCGATCGAACGGGAGTATGACTTGTAAGCCAAGAACCGAGGAGATTCGGTTTCAACATAATTTGCACAATAGCCATGGCGTGAAGCATCCAGGGCACCTATTGCACTGACTACGGAGCTCAATAGCGCGGATTCGCTCACCAAGGGTAGGAGGGACCTCGACCAACACGTCTGTATGGTGGACGAGGTGATTGCGATATAGAAAGGCGAAGAAGCAATCCAGATGGATAGTCCTCGTGTCTGCTGCCAGTGTTGCAGGTATCAATTTGCGCAATGTACATTCAGTTTCCTTGTAAAAGACGTAGACTGCCTTTAACTCTTCACTCATCTGTTTTCGGCAAATCTTACCCGTACGAATACACGATTCACAGGGAATTCCACCTACACACTGCTCTACTATATTAGCAATGACACATGTTACACGGACCATATAGAGAAAGTACCCTGATTTTTCTGGTAGCACAAGATTCACATCGTGTGACCTTCTTGCGCCGGTCGAGAGGACCCAGTGCGCGTTTTGGTGGCATTTCGGCGCCTGCATTCAAGGTCGGGTGTTCGAAGGCTCGACAGCTGCCCCTGAACGTGGATGGATGAGTGCCAAGTCAAATCTCTGTCACAGTGTTGAAGAATTCTAGGGCTCTTGGCATCGGGTTGATCCTAGGCAGCCGCCTTCTCATAAACCTTGGACACTAGGCCTATTCGGGAAGTAATCAAGCGCAGGCGGCACGACGGTTAATTCACCAGCAAACTATCCAAGGATTACCCAGAATTACAGGAAACACGAATTGCGCTAAGGAAATCACTGGGAAACCAGATGAATCATAATTGAGGGCCTGATTGATTGATGAATCGGCTATGATGGCGGGTAGGCCGAAATACTTGAGATACTAGTAGGAACATCTTTGGAAGATTAAATTTCTGATTGGTAGACCTGAATGGCTATGCAAGTACTAAGTAATCTCAAGCTAATTCGGGGTTTACATCTAGCGCCTTTAACCAATGAAAGGTCATATGAGTCGTTGATAGGTAATTTCCGAGCCCTTCTTCCCCGACAGGCGCATAACCAACTCCCCGTCAATTTGGAGCTAGGCCGAATGGGAAATGATCAAGCGCGGGCCATGACCAATACTATTCATAGAATCTATTACTATATTATGATCCGAGCCAGAACGAGTGGAAACACCTTCAGGGTAGCATTCTACATTGGTACTCAATCATCCATGGATGTAGTTGCTGAATTCGGTTGCCTAAGGGTGCAACTGTAGGTATTGACGAAATAGGAAGCAAATTTTCATCAAGCTTCGAGATATGAAGGTCTAGATAACCCGAACAAATGATCTGCCCACCAACACTCCCCGATTTATCTCACCAAACTCTCGAGAACCCTCACTTTCGAGCACCAACCTATCGTCATGTCCAACAACACACAAGCCTATATTCCATGCACGTTAGACACTTGCCCAATATCCTGGTCTACAATTGGATATCAGCCAAATCTGTGCGGAAATGCGTTATTTCTGGCAATATTTGCAGTTGCGTTGTTTGTACAACTTGCGATAGGCGTCCGTTATAAAACCTGGAGCTACCTTGTGGGCATGGGAGGAGGCCTTGTCCTCGAGATAGTTGGCTACGCGGGTCGAATCCAGTTGCATGTCAATCCATTTGTGTTCAACTCTTTCATACAGTGAGTTCAGATAATGTATAAGGAGTACTGCCCAGGCTCCCATGCCAAATATGCAGCTATCCTAACTCGATGACAAGATATCTAGTTTGTTTGACAATTGCTCCAGCATTCATGAGCGCTGTGGTGTATATTTGTTTTTACCGTATCATCATCGTCTACGACAGCTCGCTCTCGAGGATCAAACCAAGGGCATTTGTGGTGACTTTCATCGCTAGTGATGTTTTGTGTCTGATTCTTCAGGCTGCCGGAGGAGCAATTACGGCCACTACAGGTGGATCAAGCGATGGAGCAGAGGCCATGCGCAATACTGGTGTCAATGTGATGATTGCTGGCCTGGCTCTTCAAGTTGTTTCGCTTGTGTTTTTCCTTGCTTGTGCATTGGACTATACATATCGCGTGAGTCAAAAGGGCTTCTTCCCGGCTACGGCTGCTATGCAAAGCAGACGTTGGAAAGGTTTCTTGATTAGTGAGTATCCTAGGACTCGAGGCCTGCGAGTAGTAGCTGACGCATTTGCCATAATAGGCCTGACAATAGCAACAATTGCGATATTTATCAGATCTGTGTTCCGAGTAGCGGAACTTCGGGATGGGTTTTCAAGCGAGCTCGCTGGAAACGAAGTTGCTTTCATGATTCTGGAAGGAGCGATGATAGTAGTAGCGACGATCTGCTTGACTGTATTTCATCCCGGCTATTGCCTTGGTGTTTCGTGGAAAGTGTCAACCTAACGAGGGATAGTTGCGGTCCCGGTTGGGCCTTTTGAGGTTGGTACACCACAAGGTTGGCATGAACGCTGATAGTCGTAGCGTTCGTTGGTTTTTGAAAATTTTGGTAATAAAACGGTAATGGAATTGCAAGAGTCTCTTAGAGCTGTTGCTAGGCCGTCACTTGAACGCCACTTCTTTCTTTAGCGCCTATCTGCTAGACTTCATTTATGGACATGCTGAAGATACTTGATTCTCTGCAGAAGCGCCACTAGCAGTATATTGCCCTTATGTCGTGGAGTGTATTCAAGTTATTGAAAATAGTGTAAGCAAAAAGAACAGTTTGATTCTATCGCTCAAAACGACTCAAAGTGTGATTAAAAGTCTAACCACCTATCTGAGGACCTGTTGATGAACAGGTTTGTGGAAATGACTGGATCTGAGAGTCGAATGCTACGCGTAGCCTCATCAGCAAGACTTCGCCCCTGGAGTATGAAGGATATGAGCTACTTCTCATTCAATGGCTTTGGTGTCCGACATGACGGGCTCATCCTGAATGCCCCATTCAATGTTTGTATACCCGTTAGCTGTCAGATAGTCCTTCCAGTCCTGATCGCCATGATCCAGGAACTTATTAGAGTCCTCAAGTACGAACCAAGCCAGACAAGCTCCTAAAACGGCAAATCCCGATCCAATTAGGAACACCGCCTGGGTACCGTGGAGCTCATCATCACCCCAGGTGGCTAGAATAGGCTTGAATACCTGAGTCCCAATAGCGGCACCGGCCTTGCTCCAAGCCGCTGCAAAACCAACCCCATGGCCACGAAGAGCGGTTGGAAAGCTTTCGCTAGCTGTAAGGACAATGGTAGCCCCTGGGCCAACTTCACCAAGAGTAAGAAAGATTCCATACAAGATGATGAAAAGTGGCAGCTTGGTTTGAATTGGCCCTAGAGCTCCACCCAGAATAAAGCCCAGTATAGCCTGAAGGAAGAAGCCAAGAGCCATGGTGCGTCGCCGGCCGATTCGATCGGACAATAGACCGCCAATGAATGCCCCTGGAATATAGAAGCAATTGATTAATGTTCCCCATGCCATAGTGAGAGCAAGCGATGAGGAAGGGTTGACTCTGCCAACGATGGTCGAAGAGAAAAGCCCAAATGGATAGGAAATGTAGTTGTAGCTGTGCGGCCAATCTCAATTAGCCTACGATATTCCCGTTGATTAGTGAAACACTTACATGAACCACGAACCGCACACTCCGAGAAGTGACCGCCAGTACTTTTTGATAGCCAGCCAGTATGGGATCGGCTGCTTCTTCATCGAGCTCTTCCGATATGCAGAACTCACGACCATTCGATATCGAAACCAGAAAATTGAGAGGGGAGCGATGGCGCCCATCGCGAGAGAGACCCGCCACACTGCTTCGTAGTGTCTAACTTGTTGGTGAAAGCACAGAAGGAGGATCAATGGCACTAATGCACCGAAGGCGAATCCTAGGGAGGCAGAGATCTCCAATCATGGCGAAAATGAAACCTCTACGCTTGCGAACACTCGGAGCTTCATCGGTTGCTTCCGCAGCACCTGCGCCGGCGACTGGATACTCTCTGGAAATCGTCAGATGAAAATAATGATTAGATTGATGGTTTTTTTTTTTTTAAAGAAAAGATAGCTTACCCTCCTGCACCAACTCCTGCGATGCCTCTGGCAACGATTAACATCCAGAACATCCCGTCGTCCGTGAGACCACTGGCCCCTGCACTGAGTGCGATGCCCAGGACCAGAATGGCGGTTGTGGGTACAGCACCTGTTTTGCGACCTAGCTTATCCGAGATATAGCCAAATAACAACATGCCAATGATCATGCCAACCATAAAGGCATTTGACAAACGAGCGGCGACCGTGGTAGTCAGCGCTTGTGGATAGATAACTTCCATAAGTAGTTCTATATTACCGATGATTGACGCATTGAAGCCATCTGAGCCAATTGCCAGACCACTGAAGACGACCATCATCACCATTGACACGCGGGAGTAACCCCGACCGGATTCTTTGACCATCGCATCGGGATGGATCGCACTGGGAGTTTGTGCGTCTGGGGTCGCTGCGTCCGGGGAGTCTGGTTTGCTCGATAAGGTTGTTTTGGGCTCTGCTGCCTCTGCTGTAGCGGATTGCTGTTCATGCAAATGGTGAACTTCAACTACTGGAGATTCGCTCATCTTGGTTTCGTTGCATTGAGCTCTTTTCCCACTATGTCATGATAAGAGATGGCCTACAGGTGCTGTTTCGCCCTTTATACCAAGCCACTCCATCGGACACATTCCGCGTGGACTATACTTCTCGGATATGGGGTCTTGATTTGGCCAAGATTGCTTATGGCTATTGAACCAATCAATTGATGTGCGGGGTTGGGATAGGTCGGATATCTGTAATTGTTGTGGAGACTAAGACGGGCGAGGCACAGGACAGGCTGGAATCTGAAGCTAGTCAGCCCCACGGACTCACTAAGAAGCCACTTAGGTAGTCCACCCGCCATGGGCGGGACAAGCGGGGAAGGTAAGAACGAGATAACACTACATAGGCACTACTTTCCCGAATAATGCCCCTGGTAGAAATGTACCAAGGGGCTGGATGAACATGCCGGGATTGTTGAATCTTTCCTTTCCCATCCTCCACTGACCAGAAGCCATTGATTTGTATACACGGGAGACTATGTCGAAGCAATTGCCGAACGCTCAAAGAGATGTCGAAGCCCTTGTTCTTCCATCCAAATGCCACGATACTGGACGGTTTTCTCTCCGAACGCTGGTGCAGTTTATTGCCACTGTTGGCTTGCTGGCCACCGGGTACCAGTACATTTGGCCCCAGTCTCTTGCACCTTCTGACGGCGAAGTGATCACCAAAGAACAGCGGTTGGAAGAGTTTCAACGATGCGCCATCAAGAACCTATTAGATACCGGCTTGCCGTTCCTAGAAAAAGGCTTCCCCAATCGCAGTTCCTGATTTCCAGGAGCGGCGAGATCGATTAGCGGAAGCGCTGGTGGCCGAGGACGTCGATGCTTTCGTAGTGGAACCTGGCTACACCTTCAAGTATTATGGCAATGTTAGCCAGCCAGAATGGGAGGTTTGGGAGGTCAGTCACCCTTCCAGTTTAAAAACTCGAGCAGTATAGCGACCAACAATACTGATGAAGTATAGCCGGAAGAGCGCCCGTTCCTGATGGTTGTTCGTCCCGTCTTGGATCAGGCGACAAGCCAAGTAAGGGCAAACACAACGTTCCTCTGTCCATCCTTTGAAGCCGAGCGAGCCCGTCTGTTAGATATGCCTTTTACTGAAGAGATCCAAATTGTCCCTTGGGAGGAGCATTGGGACCCGTACAGCACTCTTCAGCAGTCAGACGTATTCCTTGGTGTTAGTCGTGTGCCACGCTTAATGGTCGACGAGGAAATGCGAGACTTCATTCAACGAGGACTGGGATCTGCGGGATTTGAGGTAGTTGGCCTGCGCGGTCAAGTCGAAGAGGTGCGGCAGATCAAGACTGCGCATGGTCGAGATTCTCCGTGCAGTCAATACGGGTACCGTTGAAGCCGTCCGAGAGATGAGAAAATGCGAGTCAAAGGGCAACTCAGCAAGATGGTTCAATGATGTATTTTCTGACAAAGTCATCAGGTCTCTATCCCGGATTGACCGAGAATGAAATAGCCACCGTGCTTGACAACGCCCTTCGAGCAGCTGGAATGGAGCCATTCTTCGACATCGTGCTCTTTGGTTCGTCACATCCTGCCCACGAGACATACGATACCTTTACTAACGTGTCAAAGATGAGAATGCATCAAACCCCCATGGCGGAACGGATGGAGAAAAGGTTCTGGAGCCAGAAACATTTGTCCTGATTGATGTCGGGTCTGTTTTCCTAGAAGGTTGTGTTCACACCATACTCATTGTCTGACCCATCTTGCAGTGCTCATCTCTACGGGTATTCTTCGGATATTTGCCGTACTTTCTTCCCTCCGTTTCTCGAGAAGCCTTCAAAGAGTGCCCCCTTGTCGCCAAATTTGAAGGAGAAGCTCAAGGTACGTCTGAATTTCCTGATAAAGCAGCAGACACTAGATTAAGATATTGCTAGGTTTGGGATGTTGTATTTGAGGCGCAAACACAGTCGATCCATCATATGAAAGAAAATCTCACGGCGGCAAGTGTCGATATTGCTGCCCGAGATATCATTACCAGGGCTGGTTATGGCGGAACTTTCACACATCGGGTTGGTCATGGAATTGGCATCAAAGGTACGTATGCCTGAACTTGTGCCTCGAGGTTATGATTCGCGAGGTTATGTGAACGCATTTTGACTCGTCGAGTAGCCCACGAAAGTCCATATCTCAATAAAGGCAATTTCAACACTCTGCCAAAACAGGCATGGCGTTCACATCCGAACCCGGTATTTACTTGGTTGATAAATTCGGTGTCCGACATGAGGACATACTGCTTGTTCAGGGCAACGAAGAGCCACAGCTTCTGACAGGTAGCAGAGCCCAGGGACCTTGCGGGACCCTTGAAGACCACAACTTCAGTCTGGAAATCAAATTCTCTTACGATCATACCTAGGCTTTGTGAATCGAGGTGGACAACTCTAATAGGTGGCCACCACTTCGTGAAATTCCCCTCGGAGGGAAGGTTTTTGTGTTTGGGCATGTTGAAATAACAATATATATATGTATGGAGGGCGAAAGCCACGTAGCTGTCCTTCGAGCAAAGTTCGGGACGATAGGCAAGCAATATATGACACTTCATTTGACTTCCAGCCGCAGCGCATCATATTGCACGTATACAGTTTCCAGGCAAGCGATAGCCGTTTCCGTGTCCCGGTTGCGTTGAAAGGGAGATAGAGTCGCAGCAGGTTGTCTCCCTCGTGGGAGCCAATTTGCGGGGAACGACATACGGGAGCTAACCTGATAGCAACTAACGGCAGACCGGACAATGCAGCTGCTGGATTGATTGAATCCAATCATCAGGGTCAGAGGATCCAGGTGGTCGTTGATATAACTCTCAAGAGATAGATTATTGTAGGTTTCTAGGACGCGTTCCATTAGCATGGGCGATGAAAAGGACACATCGAGAAACCACCGATAGCTGATCCAGACTCTTACCGCAGGATTCCAGACATCTGTGTTGCCAGCTGCTATCTTTGCACCGGCTAACTGCACAGTAAGAGTTGCCGTTTTCCGCTGGCGTAGTTGCTTTGCGTCCAGTTTGAAGTGGATATTCCAGTCATAGGTGGTATCGTACTCGACATGGTGGTTCGATGAAGTTGGACCGAATACTGACCAGTGGACTGTATTCAGGTCTATAGCCGGATCACTCTTGCCGATGGTGTAGTTAATGCCGTCAGGGAAGTCATGGGTCCAGTCATGGGCACCCCAATAGATCATATACTCGGGGAGCTGGGGGATGTGTGGTGTCCTTGGCACGTCCGTGGCGAAATTCGCCTGAAGATCTGTCTGGGATTCCAAGTCGCCAGACCTCCGTTCCCGCGGATTCTTCTTCCCAGTTATCGCGGACTGTGGTTGATTTTCCTGCACGCACAACGATGCCGTCGCGGATAAAATCGCCGGAAATCCCTTCCGCGTAAATGGTAACACGATACTTTCCCTCCTTTACGCGGTCCAGGGCGAAGCTCCCATCTGATCCGATGTCAACCCAGTACTTTGGTAAGCGTCCGCAACGGCGCTGTTGTCTTGGTGGTAAACGCCATTGTCAGTTAGAATGGCAATAGGTCGGACAGCACCCTTGGGAAGCTTCACAGTTCCCGAACCCTTCCTCGTTGGCCCGATGGGACATAACCCACAACGTGCTTCGCAATAGAGTCATAGAATGCAGCATTCCATTCCGGCTTTGCCAGTTCTAGAGCTTCAGGCGCGCAGCTCATTCAGCGAATGAGATCCCTTGCCGCCATTGAAGAAGTAGAATTGAGGTCCGAAGGTTCGGTCAAATCCATTTGTGATGTTTGGAGTTCCTTCACCATGATGATTGGAAACGAGATAGTTGTAGATTATTCCGTCCACAGTCAAGTCCGAATGGATTGGGCCCTGTTATTGGTGATTCTGAATTTACCGAGAATAGAGAATGATAGACCCACTCAATATGTATCCTACCCCAGGCGTGCCTTTAGTCAAGCTCAAATTATGGCGTATTGCCAGGGAACCACTCACCTTGGTGTCTGGTGATGCTTCATGCCTGGTATGTGTTCCAGAAGAATTGGTGCCATCGGCGTACAGACCGTGGACGCTGCTATTCCTCCAAGTCAGCAGGATGTCAATGAACGGTCCGATTTCGACGCGCACAAGATGGCGATGAGCGTGCTTACGATTTGAAAAGGTGTATTTGTGAAATAGTCGGAGAACCGCGTAGTAGGCGTCGGTTGTGGTGTTGTTGAAGGTCCAGGTAGCATCCTGGACGACAACTTCGTGGCTGACGGCATCCTTGCTTGGCAGAGGGGGCGCTCTGCACATCGCTCGGGAAGTCAAATGTGGTCCACAAGGCTGTATTTGGACGGAACAGGGTCCGGAAGCTCCTGTAGGTTACGAAGGAACGGTGTAGTCTCGTAATAGGACAGCCGGCTAAACATGTGAAGGCCGGTCTCACCATCACGCAAGAACCAGTATTGCTGGAATTGCTGCCCTGTCGGAGTGTAGGTGTCGGTCAGAATCATACCAGTACCGGTTCCCGTGGAATCGACTCTTGCACAACTCCGTTGACGGAGTGGTGGCACCTGCGGTGTAGGAACCGGACGGGATACAATAACAATCCAAGTATGGACCTGTACCTGTTGACCCCGCCTGGGGCCCCAGAAGATCCTGGCCATCAGGACAGGCCAACAATCTGACCAGCGCTTCTGCGCAGCACCGTCAGGAGATCACTGGCAACGGTGATAGTGGTATCACTTTGCGAAACGTGGAGTGCGCGGCTGGATACAAGACTCGCCCTCGTCGCGAGAGGTCAGAAACTTCGCCATTCTCCCCGCACAATATCCTCTGTTCTAAAGTGTTCCTTTTGCTCGCCCACGCAAACAGATTGAATGAGAGCCTGGCATCTTGGCGATGTGAGGTGTGCGCTTTATGTCTTGTATGGATGGCTTCGGGGCTTGATATGCCGAATGGCCTCCGTCGAGAAACTCCAAGGCGCTCGATCGGAGGCTCGCGTCAAGGATTCATTTTATGTAAATCCACCAATCATCCGTTGCCAGTCGTTGCACGAATTAAAAAAAAGCGGGGGTGGATGTCTTGGCATGCGGGGTCGACTCGTTAAGGAGCCATGAAGATGCTCATCAGCCACGAGAGATGAATTGACGAAGTCTGGGGTTCGGCAGGAGGAGAGCCGCGATGGATTATTGACGAGCCTGGCCATTGTTCACCCGAGTTGCTCAGAGAGGTTGAATTTCAGACTTCTCACCTTGGTGATTGTGTGAGAACCCACGTCTGCCGAGAATGTCGCCTTCAACTCCAATGCTTGAGCAAGCAGTACATTGTTCGAGCGAACAAGGATGCATATCCGGGTCAATTCGAGTCGGCAGGTCTCCCGTGAAGGAAAAGAAACAAGATCACAGAGAGACAACCCGTTTTTTACGTGGTGTCGTCGTTGAATCTTGTTCA